CCCAATGCTATGGTACTTGACGGTGGCACCTCTGGGAGGTGATTAGGTCATAAAGATGGAACTCTCATGAACAGGATTAGTACCCTTATAAAAAGAGACCCCAGAGAGCTCCCTGGTACCCTCCTACCATGTCAAGTTACAGCACGAAGATGGCTATCTATGAACCAGGAAGTGGGCTCTCACAACACACCGAACCTGCTACCACCTTGATCTTGGACTTTCCAGCCTCCAGAACTTTGAGAAGTAAATTTCTATTGTTTATAAGCCACCCAGCCTATGGTATTCCATTATAGCAGCCCAAACAAATTAAGACATCCAGTCTGCTGTTAAAGTCATCTAATGAATTTTAATTCAGTTCTAGAACGTCCATTTGATTATTTGTATAGAATCCAATTTTCTGTTGAAATTCTCTATTTTTCATCCATTTTATCTATATTTTATTTTTTATGACTTATTAGTCACAGTTATTCTGAAGTCTCCATCTGATAAGTCCAATATCTGTATATTATGGAGTTTGTTTTTGTTGACTTTTTTTTTCTTTTTGGTTTTGGTTATTTAGTCTAGTTCAGTTTCGTTTTGTTTTTAGCATGCCTCAACTTTTGATTCAATCCTGCACCATGAAAATTAAAAATTGTAGATGCTCGGGGCTGGCCCAATGGAGCAGTGGTTAAGTTCGCATGTTCCACTTCTCAGCAGCCCGGGGTTGGCCGGTTCAGATCCCGGGTGTGGACACGGCACCGCTTGGCAAAAGCCATGCTGTGGTAGGCGTCCCACGGATAAAGTAGAGGAAGAATGGGCACGGATGTTAGCTCAGGGCCAGTCTTCTTCAGCAAAAAGAGGAGGATTGGCAGTAGTTAGCTCAGGGCTAATCTTCCTCAAAAACAACAACAACAACAACAACAACAAATTATAGAGGTTCAGGATAATGTTATTTTCTCTAAAAACATTAAGTTTTCTTCTTGTAGACACAGTACTGATGAGTCACCTTGATCCCACTGAAGCATGTTTTAAGCTTTATAGAGTTGGCCTACTATAGTTTTGCCCTTTCTTCTAGGGCAAGGTCCTTACTCTTAGGGTGTTGTCTTTTCTCCTGGGGTGTGGGCTTTATTCCTCAGATGTAACCGTTCTGAGGCCTCAGTTAAAAGCCTGTGGTGTTTACCAAGGCCTCTATACCTCAGCAGAGTTTAAACTCTAACTACTACTTCCCCAGACTTACGGGGCCGCTGAAATCTCTCTCAGTTTATTGCTCTCTCTGTTATTGCTTTCTTCAGGATTTGTTTGACCTTTCCCCTGTGCCTGCACAGCTTACGAGTCAGCCAGTGACTTGAGAGAATTTTATTCACAGATTTTCAGCTCTTTCTCCGTGGTTTCCTTCTCTCCAGTATTTTGACCCTTAAGTCTCAGCCACTTTGGGGTCTCTGAACTCCCACCTGTGTATTTTTAGCCCAGTAAGATTGCTGCTTTCTGCATGGGTTCAATTCTTCTGAGTCACAATTTTGATACTACCTCAGAAAAAATCTGGGCTGGATACTTCCCTGCATACTTTCCTTTTCTCAAAGATTGTAGCCCCTCATTCCCTGACTACATTGGTTACTTTCTAATCCCTTCCAAAGATATTTTATATACTTTATCTAGCTTTTATGATTTGATTTTGGTGGAAATACAAACTCAGTCATGGTTGGAATAATTACATGTATATGATCTGACCCTTGATCAGTTCTCCTTCTGTTCCCCTCTTTCCTCATTTCAATTCAGCCACATGGGCCTTCACTTTGAATGCTTATTCCCACGTTAGGGTCTTGAACTTATTAACCTCGTCTTTTGGAACTCTTTTGTTATGGTCTAAATGATTGTGTCCCCCTTAAATTCATATGTTGAAATCCTAACGCCCAATGTGATATATGAGGAGTTGAGGCCTTTTGGAGGTGCTTAGGACATGAGAGTGCAGCCCTCATGAATGGGATTATGTACTTATAAAAGAGACCCCACAGAGCTCCCTAGCCGTTTCCACCATATGAGGACACAGCAAGAAGCCGTCAGTCGCAGTCCAGAAGAGGGCCTTCACCAGAACCCAACCATGCTGGCACCCTGATCTTGGACTTCCAGCCTCGAGAACTGTGAAAAGTAAATTTCTGTTTATAAGCCATCTGGTCTGTGGTATTTTATTATAGCAGCACAAACAGACTAAGATAACTTCAGATCCAGTTTTTTATATGGTTGGCATCCTTTTTTTTTTTTTTAGGAAGATTAGCCCTGAGCTAACATCTGCTGCCAATCCTCCTCTTCTATTTATTTATTTATTTATTTTATTATTTCTCTCTTTTTTTTAAAAGATTTTATTTTTTCCTTTTTCTCCCCAAAGCCCCCCCTGGTACATAGTTGTATATTCTTCGTTGTGGATCCTTCTAGTTGTGGTATGTGAGACGCTGCCTCAGCGTGGTTTGATGAGCAGTGCCATGTGCGCGCCCAGGATTCGAACCAACGAAACACTGGGCCGCCTGCAGCGGAGCGCGTGAACTTAACCACTCGGCCACGGGGCCAGCCCCAATCCTCCTCTTTTTGCTGAGGAAGACTGACCCTGAGCTAACATCCGTGCCCATCTCCCTCCACTTTCTATGTGGGACGCCTGCCACAGTATGGCTAGCCAAGTGGTGCCATGTCCTCACTCGGGATCCAAACTGGCAAACCCCAGCTGCCAAAGCAGAACGTGCGAATTCAACTGCTGTGCCACTGGGCCGGCCCCTATGGTTGTCATCTTGATGCTGATTGACTCTCAGCTTAATTATCACTCAGAGAGCCTTTCCCTTGCTGCTTTCATATAAAATCCCCTCCCCACCTCAGTCATCCCATGTATCTTTTATTTCTTCATAGCATTTATACCGTCCGAAATTATCCTGTTCTTTTTTTACTCTCTTATTGTTTATGTCTCATATAAGCCAGTTCTTGAGCAATGCCTGTAACGTAAAAAAAAAGAAAAAAGCTCACCGGATATCTATTGAATGAATTAGGGAAGTGAGGATCACGAAACAAACGGTAAAATGAAGGCTAAAATGAATTCCCACCCTTTTTGTGTTAGTGATAGAGATAGTCTATTCAATATTGAAAAGTCAGTGAGGCCAGGAGACCCAGGTTAGGTCAACCCTCTTCCCACTGGCTTAGGGGTTTGTGCCTTCTGTAAAGTCTAGACTTGCCTGACACAGCCCAAGCTGGCTGGATTCCCAGATTTCTCTTGGTTACTTGCTTCTTGGTCACTGTGATTTCAAGATAAGCACATATACTCTTCCCTATCTCTGGAGGCAATCTGTGTCTGGGTATAGGGTTTTCTCAGTGTAGGCTGAGAGGCAGGCAACTTCTGGCTTCTCTTAGCAGATTATCAATTTCTAGCCTTAAGCTGGCTTAAAATAATCTCCCACTTGTTGTCTGAGCACATGTAGACCATCATTGAAAATTAATGGCCCCTTGTGACTTTTCAAGAACATCTGGTGATGTCTTCAGCCTGCCTGCCCGACATACCTATGCCATGTACCTGTTAATGAACATGTATATTTATCTGGCCTACCCTGGGCTGCCTTAGCTCATGCTCAAGGTTGGCAGCGGCCTCAGGACCATTTTATGGCAGTAGCAGGGATGAGTCTTGATGGAGATGCCAACATGCCCTCATTCCCAGAGATAGAGGCCTGCAGTCAGCCACAGTGGGAAGTTTGTACCCCAAGAATATTCTCATTCTCAGGGGTACCTGAGCCCCCACCCCACTTCTCAGGCTCTAGTTATATCTGATCTGCTCTTCACTGCCCCTTTGTGGGTCAGGACAGCAGATGCTGTATTTTTGAATACGGACAACCAGTGGGGATCACATGCCTCAAGCTGCCCTCATTCCCCAACACACTGTATTGGCAGAGTGGGATAAATGTGCACCAGGGCAGAGGGAATCCCAAGGGATTCTGGTACCCAGGCTAGCAGAGTTCATCCTGGGCAGAATTGTTACCATCTCCATGCCATTCCTCAGTTGAATTAGAACCCAACCCAGGCCTGACGATGACACACACTGGTGACTGATGAAATCACACAATGGATGTGAAGATGCCTTGGGAACTTATCTCTTCTAAGGAGAGGGAAGAGACACTGGGGTGAAGTGCAACCACCAATCTCTGCCTGCAGTGCTGCTGCAGATCAGCAAAAACAATTACTCAGGCACGGACCTAACCTGAGGCCTCAAAGACGTTTGTTATTTTCTTCTCCTTTAAACACGAGTTTAAGTTCTCGCTTACTATCAAGACTCATGCAGAAAGGGCTTCACAGTGTATTTATAATATTAGCTATAACTTTTGAGTTCTATATCATGGGCCAGGCACTTTCCTTATTATTATTTCTAATCTTCACAATTATACTTTACATTAGAACTCCTTCTCTTCTTTCTCAGACAAGAAGAATGAGCTTCAGAGAAGTTACAGGATTTGCCTAGTTTGCGGAAAAGCAAGGATTATAACGGATCTTTTTTTTCATCCCGTGGATAGGAACCTGTGCTCCTAACCCTGATTCAACGCTGCCGTCTTCTCCAGGTAGGAAAGACTTCTGAGGCGGCTAGCAGGAAGCAAGGAGAGATGCAAAAGAGGCTCTTAGATTCCGGAATACACCTGATCGTGTAAAGTTCACCTCTAGACACATAAAGTTTTTTTTCAAGTCATTGAACGGGCGACACTACCGGCCATCTTGGTTGTGGCAATCCCAATTCCTTTTTATTTTTCCGTGACGACAACCAAGGGAATTAGGCAAAGCCGCCCTACCCAGGCTCTTTAAGGAGCGCCACCGACTCCGCAGGCAAAGAGCGCCGCTCTCCCGCCCGCCGAGCCCCAGGGCGTGGGCCGTTCCCAGCACTGCCTTCTCCCAGACTCTGCTCCCAGCCCCCGGCTCGGCGCCGGCCGGGACTTACTCGGGTGGGCCAGCCGGGCCCCGCCCCGCGGCCCCGCCCCCTCATTTAAATACGCGGCGCCGCCGGGCGCGTTGAGCTCGCCGCGGACCCAAGATGGCGGCGTGTGGACGTGTACGGAGGATGTTCCGCTTGTCGGCGGCGCTGCAGCTGCTGCTGCTCGCCGCGGCCGGGGCCCAGAAACACCCAGGCCAGGGCGGCCACAGCCAGGTCCAGGGCCCCGGGGCCAACCTTGTGTCCTTCGTAGGGCAGCCTGGAGGCGGCGGGGCAGCGGGGCAGCAACAGCCTCAGGCATCTCAGCTCCAGCAGCAGCAGCAGCAGCAGCAGCAGCAGCAACCGCCTCAGCCACCGCAGCCGCCTTTCCCGGCGGGAGGGCCTCTGGCCCGGCGGGGCGGAGCGGGGCCCGGCGGGGCTGGCGGGGGCTGGAAGCTGGCAGAGGAAGAGTCCTGCAGGGAGGATGTGACCCGTGTGTGTCCCAAGCACACCTGGAGCAACAACCTGGCGGTGCTCGAGTGCCTGCAGGACGTGAGGGAGGTGAGGAGACAGGACGGGCCGGGAGGGCCAGGCCTGGTGCGGGCCCGAGGGTGTCGCCGGCCTTGGAAGCTGCTGACGCTGGTCTGCCGCTTCTCCTGCTTCCTCTGCTGCACTCCCACCTTCCCTCCCTGCCCGTCGCTTCCCGGCGCGTTCTGAGAAGAGGACCCCACCCTCACCCCTCTTTCCCTCCCTGGGGCGGGGGTCTGGAACCGAGACCCCGGCTCCTGGCCGCGATCGGCGAAGGCCCAGAGCGTGTTTATGTTTGCTCAGGTCTTTTGTGTGATGCTCTCTAAGCACAGTGGCTCCTTGGCGAAAACCTGCTTAGGATTTGGCCATCCGTTTCGACTTGGATAATTTGTAGCAACCCTTTTAAACATGAAAAATGTTGGCGTACTTGAGCTGTTAAAGAATGATCCGCTCTTTATTGGCAGTAGGTAATGTTTGTTTAGGTAACTCGGCTTCTGTATTCTGTGTGTATTGTAATCAGCAGCCAAATTTACTGTCTTTACCGTATTCTTTTGTAATTCGCAAATTTCTGTTATCTACCGGGTGCTGAAAATAATGTATGCTTTTCTTTTTTCTTCTACTTCTTTTGGTCAATTTGTAGTGAATCTCAAGTTTAAGCTATTACTTCAAGTGATTTAGAGTTCCAAAGCTTGGAAAGTTGGGGCGGCATCTGAAGCTGTAATACATATACAACATTTGTGATTGGGTTGTGGGGTCTTGCTTTTCTGATGTATGAATGATTTTAACAGTACTTCTTAATGAAATCTGGATTTGATGTTGTTTGATGTGTTTCAGTTAAATGACATATCTCCTCTAGATTTAATGCAGCAGACATAAGTGCGTATTGGACAGTTCTGTAAGATTTGGAGCAAATCTGGTAGGGATACTTTTTTTTAAACAATTAAGTATGGAGAATTAGGCCCAAAGGTTGACAAGTAGAATGAAACTGCCGCTTGATACACTTTTGTCATCAGAATTATCTAAGGTGTTCATGGTCATGGGAAGACCACTAGTTTGTAGAAAATTGCTAGTCTTGGCCTTCCCCCCCCCCCCCCCCCCCCCGCCACTGTGATATTTGCTCTAGTATTCTATACAGAGTAATTCCCTAGAGGAAAAGACATATATATCAGGAGACAGACGGAAGTTTCCAGAGCCGTCAGAAATGTGGAGCCTCAGATGATTTCTCATGGACAACTTGAAGACTAGAAAGATAGTATCTTTTTCTTTATTCTTCAGCTACTTCTCTAGTGGATAGACTGAGATTCTTAACTCTGTCAAGCTTTTTGGAATTTCCTATTTGGTCTTTGGGGATATATAATTCATGTTGTTTCCTCAAACTAGAATCCTAATATTGTTGACCTCTTTGTTAGTAGTTTGTGACAGAAATAGGACATCATTAGGCAAAGTGGCCCATCTGAGGAGTACGTATCTCTTCCTTTGTGTGCGTTAGAGATATTTGGAAACCTCCACTTACAAGAGTGGTCTTCCATTGTCATGCATGTGGCAGTGTGTAGCAGCATATATAATCCATAAATAACTTAGATTTGACCACTTTTGGAGTCTGTTTAATTTAGTAGTTACTATCTTTCTTGGATTACTTAGAGCAAAGAACCTGGCCTGAAAATGTAGTCCCTGCTCCACCTTCGATTGACAGGAAGATGCTCAGGAAGGATATTGTTTTAGTACCTACAGTTTTCTTCCCTTATGGGGATGATATATAAACTCTTTGAGAGTAGTTTCTAGGTCTTATATTCCTTTGTAACTTTCCAGAGTACCTATTTCAGTGCTGAGACTCAGTAAATGTTGTCAACTGATTGAGGATGAGTAAACAAATGCAGTTGTATTTATGCTCCAGAGAGGGAAAAGGTGTTGTGTAAATTGGATGTGGAGGTGTTTTGGGGAGCAGGGATTTCCAAATTTAATTGATTTTCCTCCAATTTTATATACATAAAAATTGAAAGGAGAGTACCATTAACAACTGTGTATATTCTTCAGGAGGTGGAGCTATTTTTTTCCCTAAGATTTTATTTTTCCTTTCTCTCACAAATCCCCCTGGTCATAGTTGTGTATTTTTTAGTTGTGGATCCTTCTAGTTGTGGCATGTAGGATGCCGACTCAGCATGGCTTGATGAGCAGTGCCATGTCTGCACCCAGGACCCCAACCGGTGAAACCCTGGGCCACCAAAGCAGAGCGTGTGATCTTAACCACTCAGCCACAGGCTGGCCCCCTGGAGCTATTTTTAAACTACTTTTTTCTTCTTTAAAGATAACAAAAGCAAATTTTATTCCACTTAGTTTGAGAATTAGTTAAATCTGATTTATGTATGTGAAAGAGCATAAGTTAATTAAAGAAATAAAAAAGGTAGGCACATTTGAAGTGAAATTATGGAATATGTTCTGTATTTGCTTTTTGGTAAGTGGAACTGTTTGGTAGGGAAGTAGACATGTGCTCCTTTATCCCTTTGGATGCAAATTTGGGGAAGATTGTTCTCTGTGTACTTGCTATTAGAATTATGAAAAGGCAAAGCATGTAAGTATTTAAGTGGCAGTATAGTAAACTACATTTTTATTTTGAAACAACATGGGAGTATTTAGAGTTAGATTAAGTCTGAAGTTCAAATATTTTAAGGTTCTCTCTAGTGTAGTATTCAAAGTTATGTAGTAATTCACTTAAAAAATTTATTTGAAAGTATTTATGGTTACCTTTAAATAATTTCAACGGATTGTCTAATGCATCCTATACCAACAAATTAAAAATCTGTTCGTAAATTATAATAAACCTCTATAAAGACTGCAGATTAGTTCACAGCTTTTCCTCAGTCATTGTGGCTGTTATTTTGAAAGTATGTGCTCTTCTTTTTTTTTTTTTAACCCTCTCGGATGAGTCATGGTTTTTAAAAGGTCAAGTATACCCAATGGGCCCACTATTAAATAGTAGGTGTAATAACAGTAATGGTGGGAAAGCAGTCCCGGTTATATGTATATATATAACTAGTAGTAGTTGTAGTTATAAAAAAATATAACTAGAAAGTATAAGGGGAAAAAGGAAAAATACAGCCTGGCCTGTTCTACCAGGTGGAGGAATAGTAATAGCAAAGAAGGAGAAGATGCTGCTCTTCTAGCTAATATTTGATAAAGAGACAAGAGAAGCTTTATGTTGAGAGTAATTTTAAAATACTTCATATATTTTTGGCTGAAATGACCAGTTGTATCTTGTGTTTAGGAGTTTCGGATGGAGACCTTGGTTCCTTAGGAGAACGTTTTTGGTGGTGTGCATAGTTTTTCTTGTTTTCGTTAGATTAAAAACAAAACCTTTCTCATATGGAAAATTTCAAACATACACGGAAGTAGAAAGAATAGTATGATGACTCCACATGTATGCATCACCCAGCTTCAACTATCCCCGCCTTTTTTTTTGGCACAGTAGTTGGGAGACTGGTATATTTTAAAGCAAATCCCAGACACTATGTCATTTCACTTATAAGTACTTCAGTATGTGTCTCTGATAAACACTAAAAAAAAGAAAAATCTGGAACCTAAGTGTTATTTATTTATTTATTTATTTATTTATTTTTGGAGGAAGATCAGCCCTGAGCTAACTGCTGCCAATCCTCCTCTTTTTGCTGAGGAAGACTGGCCCTAAGCTAACATTCATGCCCATCTTCCTCTACTTTATATGTGGGATGCCTACCACAGCATGGCTTGCCAAATAGTGCCATGTCTGCACCCAGGATGCGAGCTGGCGAACCCCGGGCCACTGAAGCAGAACGTGCGAACTTCTGCTGCGCCACCGGGCCGGCCACCCTAAGTGTTATTTTTTAGTACTTAAAAGTATCATGAAGTAGTTTTTCTAAATTTCATGATACTATCTCTTGATATATCAGTTTAGATTATCAGTTTAGATTCTCTTGATATATCAGCTTTAGATTATAAATTTGTGGACCATTATCTTTAAGCTATGCACAGAGTGAATATTTTTTAAATGTTTACGTAAGTGGTACTATTTTATGTATTGAACAGGAATTAATATTTCAGCATTACACAGTGTAAACCCACTTTCTTTTTTTTTCAGATTTTTAAATTTTTCCTTTTTCTCCCCAAAGCCCCCCGGTACATAGTTGTATATATATTTTTTTCAGTTGTGGGTCCTTCTAGTTGTGGCATGTGGGACACTGCCTCAGCGTGCCATGTCCGCACCCAGGATTCAAACTGGTGAAACCCTGGGCCACCAAAGCAGAGCACGCATACTCAACCACTCAGCCGCTGGGCTGGCCCCTAAACCCACTTTCAAACTCATAAAGTGAACATTTTTCTTAACCTTTCACTTAACAGTATCCTAAGATAGTGTACCACACTATCTATATTATTTAATATTCTTGATAGTCTTAAGAGGTAGTATCTTTTTTCTTTTTTCTTTTTCTCCCCAAATCCCCCCAGTACGTAGTTGTGTAGTTTTAGTTGTGGGTCCTTCTAGTTGTGGCATGTGGGATGCCACCTCAATATGGCCCAATGAGTGGTGCTATGTCTGCGCCCAGGATCCGAACCAGTGAAACCCTGGGCCGCCTAAGTGGAGTGCATGAACTTAACCACTCGGCCACGGGACCAGCCCCTGAGGTAGTGTTATCTTATTATCTCAGTTGAGAAATAGGCTTGGAGAGATGAAGCAATTTGTCCAGTGTTATATCCTAAGTGAGCTGGTAGTCAGCAGGTTCTCTTTGATTTCAAAGACCGTACTCTTTCAAGTCTACCCTGGAGGGTTGCAGTTGGTGAAATTAGTGTGTGACTATTGAGAATGCCAGGGGTTCATAAATGGACACAAAATGAGAAGAGTCACCTGGAACTAGAATCCTCTTAAAGATTGGTAACTGAGCTAACATTTGTTGCCAACATTCTTTTTTTTTCCTTCTTCTTCTCCCCAAAGCCCCCCAGTACATAGTTGTATATTCTAGTTGTAGGTCCCTCTGGTTGTGCTGTGTGGAACCTGCCTCAGCATG